TGGGGAAAATGCTTTAGGACATTGGAATTACCAAGATTTTTATTTTTGTTTTGTTTTACAGTTCTAGGGATTGAACCCAGGGATGCTTTACCACTGAGCTACATCCACAGCCATTTTTATTTTTCATTCTGAAATGGGGTCTTGCTAAATTGTAGAGGCTGGCTTTGAATTTTGAACATGAAGTCCTCCTGCCTCAGCCTCCCAGGATGCTGAGACTACAGGTGTGCACCATCATGGCCAGCTGGAATTAGCATGTTTGTTTTTTGCTTTTTGAGAATACCCCAAAAGCACAGAAAACAAAAGCAAAAATAGACAAATAGGGTTACATCAAATTAAAAAGCTTCTACACAGCAAGGAAACAATCATTAGAATGAAGAGACAACCTATAGAATCAGATAAAATATTGCAAATGAATATCTTATATGGGTTAATATCCAGAATATATAAGAACTAAAAAAATTCAACAGCAAAAATTTTTATTATAAAATGGACAACAAACCTACACATTTCTCAAAAGAAGACATAAAAATAGCAGGTATATAAAAAAATGTTCAATATCACTAATCATCAGGAAAATGCAAATTAAAGCTATAATGAGATACAACTTCATTCCAGTAAAAATGACTATTATACAAAACATTAAAGATTGTAACAAGTACACACTGTTGGTGTGAAAATAAATTAGTATTGTCATTATGGAAAATAGTATTGCCAGTATGAAGGATACTCAAAAAATTAAAAATAGAACTATCATATGATCCAGAAATCCCACTGCTGAGTATATATTCAAAGGAAATCAAATCAGCACATCCAAGACACCTGCTCTCCTGTTACTGCAACACTATTCACAACAGCTAAGAAATGGAACTAACCTAAGCGTCCATCAACTGATGAATGAGTAAGGAATATGTGGCACACACACAGTGGGATACTAATGAGACAGACAAACAGACACCCACATACATAAAGAAAGAAATCCTGTAATTTGTGACAATATAAGTGGAACCAGAGATTATTCTGCAAAATGAAACAGGCCAGGCAGAGAGAAACTAGTATCACATGATCTCATTCATATGGAATCTAAAACAGTTGATCTCTTAAATATTTAGCATAGAATGGCTGGGAGTGTGAAGAATAGGGAGTGGGGGAGAGGTTGATCCCTGGGTTCTAAGTTATGGTAAGTAGGAATGAACCGTTCTGGGGTGCTATTGATAGCAGGGTGACTGCGGATAATGATGCACCTTCGTTAAAAAAGCCAGATTTTAAGTGTTTTTACCATAAAAAAAAGACATTTGAGGAGACAGATGTTTAACATGATTTAAACATTATACAATGTATACATGTATTAAAACATCATGGGAAAGCCAATTAATATGTACGATTTTTATTTTTTTATTTATTAGTTTAAAAATTAAGTAAAAAAATCCAGGAGTGGTAAATAAAAGGTGCCACACACCACCAATCCTCTACCAGTTTTCCCTAAGCAACTAAAGCCCTCTAGACATTGCTTTATTTGAGAGCAATTTGGTGATTTACATGAGTCTTCTCTGAAATGAGGGAGCCAGGTTAGAGGGGGAAAGGCTGGATAAGGAGGTGGGGAGCAATCTCCTGAAGTTTGCTGCCCTCTCTAGTTTCCTGACTACAGAACACAGCACCTTTATTTTATTTTATTTTTATGTGGTGCTGAGGATCAAACCCGATGCTTCACACGTGCAGGGCAAGTGCTCTGTCACTGAGCCACAACCCCAGCTCCAAATTACCGCTTATTAAATCAAATAATTGTGACAAGAATGGGAAACAAAGAGAACACTGCTGTGTAATGATGTCCATCTGTTATAACCTGATTAACACAACACTATTACTATGGTATTATGTGGAAATAAATAATCCTTCTTTATCACTGTATTATAAAAAGGTTTTTCACAGTTCATTTGTACCTTTGGGTCAAAAGAAATATCCTATAGGATAGTTTAAAGTAGCAGCTTATCCTGAAGCTTAGAACTGACCAATAAACCTTCCATCCACTTCATTTCAAAGATGATAAGGAGTTTGAATTAGGGGTGGACTGGGAAGGAGAAGGAAAACATTTAACATCTACTGTGCTGGGCCAGAGCTTTAACCACATTCTCTCTTCTAGTTGGTACACAGAAACATGGGACTGGCTCTATCATCCCCATTTATAAGAGGCTCCAGGCCTTAGCAGTTCAAGTAATTTAAGATTACACCACTGTAAATCAGAGCTATGATTAAAACTGAAATATGTGGGAATAAATCTCAGGGTTTTTCCCACCTACATCAGGTTCATCATAAAATGAATATAAGAGAGAAGAAAGGAGATTCAATTCACTTTTTTAAAAGTATTTATTTTTTAATTTTAGGTGTATACAATATCTTTTACATTTATGTGGTGCTGAGGATTGAACCAAGTGCCTCATGCATGCTAGGTGAGCACTCTACCACTGAGCCACAACTCCAGTCCCGCACTTTTTTTTTTTCCTAAGTGAATTAGTGACAAGCCACTTTATTTATTTACTTTTTATTTTTATTTTTTTTGTGGTGCTGGGGATTGAACCCATGGCCTTATGCCTGTAAAGCAAGCACTCTACCAACTGAGCTATAGCCCCAGCCCCTCAATTAACTTTTTAACAGTCCAATTACTGAAAGAAACAAGCTTTCAAATTTCCCACACCAAATTCTATTTCTTTTCTTCATATTTTGCTCTTAATATCATATCATTATGTATTAAAAATGAGCTGAAATTCATATTGTATCCATTAGTATTATTTATAGGGCATTTGCAAATATAAAGGAAAAAAAGACAGAAGGTCAGCCATCAATTTCTCCTCAAGTTACTGATGCATACAAGTCACAAATTAACTGTCTGTGCTACTACCGAAAAGATTATGTGGTTTGAGGTGGTATTTTTTGAACGACCTTTTAGTGGTGGTTTCCATGATGTTAAAAATAGGCTTTGGGGGCTGGAGTTATAGCTCAGTGGTAGAGGGCTTGCCTAGCATGTGTAAGGCACTGGGTTCAAGCCTCAGCACCACATAAAAAAATAAATAAATAAAAATAATGGTATTGTATTAAAAAAAAAAAAAAAAGGCTTTTATGCTGGACATGGTGGCACATGCCTATAATCCCTCAGCTTCCCTGAGGCAGAAATACTGCAAGTTCAAAGCCAGTTTCAGCAATGTAGCGAGGCCCTAAGCAACTTAGTGAGCTCTTGACTCAAAATAAAAAATAAAAAGTACTGGGGATGTGGCTCAGTGGTTAAGTAACTCTGGTTCCATCACCAGTACTGCCCCCCTCCCCCCAAAAAAGGCTTTTAAGAGTAATATGTCAGGCACAGTGACACACACACCTGTAATCCCCAGTTACTTGGGAGGCTGAGATAGGAGGATCCCAAATTCAAGACCAGCTTAGGCAACTCAGCAAGACCCTGTCTCAAAATAAGAAATAAGCTCTCTGCTTCCAATCATTATATGAGCTGCTTTTCTCGGCCACACTCTTCCACCATGAGGTTCTGCTTCACTTTGAGCCCTGAGGAGTGGAGCTGGGTGTCTATGGCAAAGACCTCTGAAACTTTGAGCCTGCAAATAAGTTTTTCCTCCTCCAAAATTGTTCTTGTCAGATCTGTTAGTCACAGCAGTGAAAAAAAGCTAACTAAAATAGAAACTAGTACCAAGAATGGAGTCACTGCTGTGATTAACTGACTTGACTATGTGATCTTATCCATGGAGCTCTTATGAATGGGTTGAAGGAATTTTGAAATGTGTATCAATGCAAGCTGGAAATGCTTTAGATTGTTTTAAGTGGAGCTTAATGCCAATTCTGGTGGAAGCTCAAAGACCAGAATGCCAATAGTAACACTGACAGTGAAGAGAGGGCTCGAGAGTGTTTAGAGGAAAAGGACACACTATTGGTAAATGGACTAGAGGCCATTTGTTCTGGCTGAGAATGTCTGCATTTTGCCAGTGTCCTGAGACTTTCTGTGAGTTGATTTAAAAAGCAATGAACTTCTTAATCTGGCAAAGAAATTTCTAAGCAGCACAGCATTCAGGAAGTGGAATGGGTATTGCTGGAGGCTTTTAGCCAAGTTTATTTTGTGATATTCAGTAGCAGAAAGTAGAGTAGAAAGATTTGAAAAACTTGAGACTAAAAGGCAGGAGTAAAACTGGGGCTAAGAAGTTTTAGTTGTTAAAGACTGTACTACCCTAAAGAAATGCTAAAGACTTTGCCCAGAGACTTTAAAAAAGATGGCTTGAGGGTGTCTCTTGAATTGGCAAGATTCTATCCATCTCAGACTTAAGGAAGTAAAAATAAAAATTCTCTGGAGAAGAGACCAGTGGGGTATTCTTGCACAAGGGGGGCTAGGAAGTTTTTTCAACATGATCAGCTACCCAGGGACTGGGAGGCTGATGCAGCCAGGGTCTCTGGAGGTTTGGCTATTGTTCTAGATGGGGGCAGACTTTGGCATCAACCACATGGTGCTGGTTCCATTCTGCAGGAATGTAGGATGCCAGAGTTAGGGTGTCATGGAGACTTCCACCAAGATTTCCAAGGAAGGCCTGGGAGGCCAGGCAAAGTGCAGCAGGGTCAGAGTCCCTGCAGGCACCCCCTGAGAAGGAGACGCATGGGGATGTAAGGAGGAAGACAAAGATGCAGTAGAGTGTGCGACAATGCAAGAACATTCTGGTGAAACGATTGGGTTATGAGAGCCTTAACCCATCAGTGAATCAATCCTCTATGATAGGGATTAACTGAGTGGTAACTGAAGTTGGGTAGGGTGTGCCTGGTCACTGGAGTCATGCCTTTGGGTATGTATTTGGTGAGCTGAGCTTAGTTTCTGTCTCTGCTTTCTGATCATCAGATGAGCTGCTTTTCTCCACACTCTTCTGCCATGATGTTCTGCCTCACCTCACCTGAGGAATGGAGCCAGCTGTCCATGGACTGAGACATTGGATACTGTGAGCCCTCAAATAAGTTTTTCTTCCTCAAAAAAAAAAAAAAACAAACAACAAACATTTTTTTTAAAGGTAATTTGCTCAACTGGCTAATAATAAAATAGTAAAAAGGTTTTCACAGTTTTTTTCTTTTTCTTGTACTGGGGGTTTGAACCCAGGGGAGCTCTACCACTGAGCTACCTACCCAGTCTTCTTTATTTTTTATTTTGAAACAGGGTCTTGCTAATTTGTTCATGCTAACTTTCAACTTGCAATTCTCCTCTCTCAGCCTCTCAGGGAGCTGGGAGGACTATTGTGCACCACTGTGCTCAGCTTCTTCATAATTTTTAAAGAGTAGTCATAGTAGCAGCAATGGCAATGTCCAGAGCATCCTAAATTCATTCATTTGAATGAGAGTTTATGTTAAATCTAAAATACTTTCTATAGAGAGACCAACAGATATGAAAGAGAAAAGGCATAAAAATACACGAAGTTTAAGCTCTTTGAACATGCTAGCATAACTATCCATCTTTTTATCCGTTTAATCTTATCTATCCCTCCCTCCCCCCACCCACCATATCTTCCTTTTTAAAATGTTTTTTATTAGTCCATTATAGTTACATATAGCGGGGTTAATTTTGACATGATCATATATACATGGAATATAATTTGCTCCATTTCAGTGCCCAGTACCTCCTATTTCCCTCCCTACTCTCCTCCCCCGGTTCCCCTTGCTCTCCTCTACTGGTCTTCCTTCTATTTATTATTTTTTAATTGGTGCTTTATAGAGACTCATAAAGGTATGTTCACTGTGGTATATTCATATATGTACACAGCATAATTTGGTCACATTTATTCTCAGTTCTTCCCTTTTTCTGTCCATCTCTCTCCCCCTCAATCCCTTTCCTCTACTCCATTGATCTCCCTTCTATTTTCATGAAATCCCCCCACTCATTTTCCTCTAGCTTCTGCATATGAGAAAAAACATTTGACTTTCTGAGTCTGGCTTATTTCGCTTAGCATGAGGTTCTCCAATTTTATCCACTGTCCAGCAAATGGCATAATTTCATTCCTCTTTGTGGCTAAGTAAAACTCCAGTGTGTATATGTACTATATTTCCTTTATTCCTTCATCTGTTGACAGGCACTGGGGCTGCTTGTGAATTGCCCTGCTATAAACAATGATGTGCCTGTATCACTATATGCTGATTGGTATATGTATGTATGTATATATATATGTATATATATATATATATGTATGTATGTATGTATATATATATATATATATATATATATATATACACCAAAGAGTAGGATAGCAGGACATAGGGTGGGTCTATTCCTAGTCTTCTGAGGAATCTCCATACTGCTTTCCCAAATGATTGTCCTAACTGCAGTCCCACCAACAGTGTATCAGTGTCCCTCTCCCTCACCTCCTCACCCCCACCATTTCTTTCAAACACACCTCTCTTAAAAGGTTATTTTTCTCCTAAAAGACTTGACACATACTACATTTTTTTTTCACCTTTTCTTTTTAGTTTAGGAGGATAGACAAGCTATCACTGAGCTACAGTGCCAGGCCACATATTCCATTTCTGTCAGATAACTTACTAAATAGACATCTGGAAACTTTACTCCAGTTATCCTACACTGTTCACCTTACACAAGCGTTGATAATATAAGTGAGATGTGAACACAGTGTATATAGTCTTATGATTGTAGTTGATAAATAAGCCCCAAGTTTACTACTCACTGTAGATGAACTCTTCTATTATTTATATTTACTGCAATCACCAGGCTTTCAATATCACTTAAAAAAAAAAGCACACACCTCATTTTATATCCACTAATGTCTTACTGAAGATATTCCATTTAAAAAAACAACTGATATGTGTAGGGGACAACTAACATGTAGAATATTATCTCAGGAGTTCTTTCCTATGACAGAAAACAAGCTGTAACTTAGTTGAAGCATCTCTACAAGATTCATTTCTAAAGTGGCCATTTTGTGAAGGAGCATCTTCCTAAGTGGAGATTCCCTCTGAGAGCACACAGTTTCTCTTTCAGGCAGACTCCCTGAGCACTGTTTACAGAAGTTGCTTGTGTTCTTTACAAGCTGTCTAACTTTTCAACATCACAGAACACAAAGTGAACAGTCTGCTTGGTATTTTGTTTTTACTTCAAGGCAGCTGAACAGAAGCAGAGTGAAGAAAACAGGTCTAAGAGTTGCATAGTGATAACACTTCATATATGTTCGTGCGAAGCTTGACTCTCAAACAGGTGGAATGCTCCAAGGCTCCGTGGGATCTTCCAGGGCACTACAATACAACAGTACCCCCAGCCACTCTGAGCCTTAGCTAACCTTAGCTCAAGTGACTATGCTAAGGTACTTCTGGATCAAATAAGCAAAAATAAAATTATTACAGGTAATACCAACCACTGCAATTTAATCTGAGTGATTCTCTCTTAATATGTTAATATATTTCCTCTAAAAACAACTTAGCATTAAAAAGCCATATTGTAGAATTCTGTATGCAATGAATTTGACATTTTTTAAAATTCAGCATATTATATCATTGATAGGGTATTCTTTTAGAAAAGAAGAACTAAAGCAAATGATGAACACAGCAATGCTCAGAGGCTGAGGGGTGAAGAGACGTTCTTGTTTTACATACTGTGTTTTTTGATTTTGCTACAAACAACCCATGTATGAGTTAACACAAAAATGCAGAAATCACAAGAAATTCAAAGTGAAAAGCACCCTCTTAGTTTTGATGATCAATATACAAACATATAAATTTAAAATAAGTCCTTCAAGCCTTTAGTAGGTATAGTAAAGCCTTTACTTGGTCCTGAAGATTAGTTATTCAGGCAGTTGCTAAGCAACATTCTGTTCTAGAGGGCTAAAGTGCATGAAATTAACAGGTTTTCAGGAAAAGATAAACTGCATGAAAAATTAGGGAATAACAGAAAGGGGAAAAGCATTAACTTGCTAATTAGACTGTAAGACATTCGGTGGCTTTAGTAATAGTGCTTCTTTGCCACTAGCACCAAACAAGCACTTTAGTGCATTCACATTTTAATTTTATTGAAACACTGATCATAATACCTATACACTCAACAGTCTAATTATTTTGAAAACCTCAAATTAAATCAGATCAGGATACTCTACTTGCTACTACTAACAGATCTCCAAAGATAACTTTTTTCTAAGAGTATTTTACAAATCACTAGTTTCAGGTATATCACAACCATAGTTTTTGTGTTAAAAAATGTAATTATTGTAACATGAAATTATAAAGTGACATCTTCATGGTGCTGTGTAGAAACTACCAGGTGGCTAATCTTTGACAGGGCACCCAGAACAGGGGGGAAAGGATCTTCAAGTGTAAAAGAAAGAAGACTCTTACCTACACCATAAGAAAAATGAGTTGAAATGGATTAAAGGCCTGAGACCCTAAACCACAAGTCTCTAGTAGAAAACAGAGAAAGGCTCCTTCATACTAGTCTTGGCATTAGTTTTTTGGTCTGACACCACAAGCACAGGCAATAAAAGCAAAAACAAAAAATGGGACAACATCGAACTAAAAAGCTTCTGCACAGCAAAAGAATCAACAAAATGAAAGGGAATGGGTGAAAATGTTTGCAAACTTTATATATGATGAGGGATTGAGAACCAAAGCACATAAGGAACTCATACAAATAAATAGCAAAACACAAATAACCCAATTAAAAAAAAAACTTTTTCAGGAGCAAAGGACCTAAATATATGTTTTCACAAAGAAGATATACAAATGGCCAACAGGTAAGTGAGCAGGTGCTCAACATCACTAATCAAAGAAACCAAGTCAAAACCATAAGATGACTTCACACCTCTCAAAGACAAAGGCACGTTGGTGAGGGCATGTAGAAATGGAACCTGCACATTGTTGGGGGGAATACAAACCAATCTAATCCCTAGGGAAGCTGTAGGAAGGGTCCTCAAAAAATTAAAAACAGAACCAAATATGACCCAGAAATTTCACTTGTAGGTATGTGCCCAAGGGAAGGAAACCAGCATGGTTATGAGACATTTACTGCCCATGTAAAATGAAGCATGGTTCACAGCAGCCAGATATGGAAACAACCTAGGTGTCTGTTGATTAGTGAACGGATGCAGAAAATGTGGAGTATATACTTATATGTGTAAAGGAATACTATTAAGTCAAAAAGAAGAAAATCTTACCATTTGACACAACATGTATGAACCTGGAGGACGTTATGCTGAGTGAAATAAACCAACACAAAAAAAACCCAAGTTTTGTGTGATCTCAGTCATATTCACAATCTAAAAACATCAAATGTACAGAAGCACAGAATAGCATGGTGGCTGCCAGAAACTGGTAAGAGTGGTAAAAACAGGGAGGTGTTGATCAAGGGGACAAACCTTCAGTTGCAAGATGATTAACTTCTGGGGATCTAATGGGCAGCATGGTGACTGTGATACTGTATTGTAAACTGAAATTTCCTATGGGAATAGATGCTAAGAATTCTCACTACACCACAAAAAGTAACCAACTACATGAGATGTCAGATGTGTTAATCAGCTTGATTGCATTAACTATTTCATAATGTGTGTCTGTGTGTGTGTGTGTATATATATATATATATACACATAAAGATATCAATCATCATATTATAAGCCTTAAACATATATAATTTTTGTCAATTATGCCTCAATAAATCTAGGGGTTGGGGAAGAACTATTCGATGACTAAATAAAAAAAATAATTTTGCTGGGTGTGGTGGTACACACCTGCAATCTCAGTGCCTCAGGAGGCTAGTCAGGAGAATTATGAGTTCAAAGCCAGCCTTAACAAAAGCAAGGATGCTAAGCAACTCAGTGAGACCTGTCTCTAAATAAATTACAAAATAGGGTTGGGGATGTGGCTCAGTGGTCAAGTGCCCCTGAATTCAATCCCTGGAACCACCCCCCCCCCCCCCAAAAAAAAAAAAAAATTGGCAGTCCCAGGACCTTGCACACACATGGCAAAAGCACTACCACCAGAGTATACCCTATTTCCAAATTTGGTCTTTTATATTAGCATTTTAGAATAAGAACTCCTTCCTGATCTTACTATGTCAACTTAATAAGTAAAAAGGAATGTCATCAGATCTACTGGATATAACAAAGGAAACTCATTAAAAAGGAATTGGCTTAGTAACTGAAGGAAAAATTACTGTAGAATTTCACTACTGTGGGAGAAAAGATAGGAAGGAGAATGTACAGTTTCATCAGTCTGAGAAATCAAGGGAAAATTTTCCACCCTACCCTCTACTTCTCCCCTTTTCCACTTTTAATATTATGTGATACTTTGTATAAAATGGTGCCACAGTGCAAATGTTAATCCCCTTATTCACTGAATGAACTCTCCCCCAAGTTTTTCTGAAGTTCACATTAAGCAAATGCAGAAGTTACTGAGGCCAGTTTTCATAAGTGAGATCAGGAAAAGAACCCATGTTTATGAAGAATATCACCATGGAGGATATGGAAGAGCTTGTGTCTGAGCTGCAAACATACAGTCAGCTCTTATTCCAACTTTTTAGACTTCTTTCCTTTTATTTTTGGGGCACTGGGGATTGGGCCAGAGCCATGCACACATGGACAAGCACTCTACCACTGAGCCATATCCCAGCACCTCTGGCTTCCTTAATTCTGCAGGCAGCTTCTTACTGTATTTTCTTTTCTTCTTCTTCTTCTTTTTTTTAGTTGTTGATAAACCTTTATTTTATTTAAAATAAAATAAATATTTATTTATATGTGGTGCTAAGAATCGAACCCAGTGCCTCACACATGCCAGGCAATTGCACTACCACTGAGCCACAGCCCCAGTCCTTCTTACTGTATTTTAAAATGGCAGTGCTGGACTAAATGATTGGTGAAGTCTACTTTATCTCAACTCCACTTTGAAGTCTAATGCTATATAAGAATAGCTATTTATGAAAAAATTATTCTCTCTTATCTTTAAAATGCTCAGAAGAGGCACTTATGACCAGATTGTAGGATCTTTCAGTGCTTTCTTTTTGTTTTCTCATAGTAATAACCATGTCTCAGACCAAACCAAGAATTCACTGTGAAGTTCTGATTATCCAGGTAAGAGTAAAAGGCCATGAGTTAGCCAGCAGTACATGATGACCACCATGGCTGAGCTACAACATTTTTTCAAGGGAAGTGAACTGGGTATTAGGGATTGAACACAGAGGCCCTCCACTGAGCTACATTCCCAGTCATTTGCATTTTTTATTTTGAAACAGGGTCTCACTAAGTTGCCCAGGATAGCTTTGAACTTGTCATCTACCTCCCATAGCCTCTCGAGTTGCTGGAATTATAGGGGTACACCACTGCAACTGGCTTATGATATTAAGTTTTAATGACCTTTATTTTATTTTCACAACCCACCAGAATTTTTAACAATGGACTATAGCAGTAAGAAACAATTTCTATGCATAACAAAAATAAATGTATTAACCCCACATTACATGTGCACATACCTACGCGTGCACACAGGCACATAACAAATACCTTTTAATCTCAGTTTGTTTTAAAATGTCTTGACTTGAACCTTTTCAAAAACCTTACTGCATATAACAGTCTTCTTTTTCAAGAGCCTGTGTCTGTTTACCAGGTACAGAAATGAGGACTGAAGTGAAATGCTCAGTTCAGGATTCTATGAAATCATAGGTGAACAAAGACTCATGTGACAAAAGAGCTGAACAGCCCTTTGCGGTTTCCTAACTCAACTGCTGTGTCACAGAGCTGTTCATGGAAAATCAAGATGGGAGTCAGCCCTTCTGACTCTTCAGTAGGGCCCTAAGGGATGCTCATGGCATGGCTTGCTACTGGCGTACGTACTGGATACAGTTATTCCTTGTGGTCCACACAACACAGCTAAAGTCTTGGGGTAAATGAGGTGGGAATACACTCCTCCTGAGGCTGGGGTTGTGGCTCAGCGGTAGAGCGCTTGCCTAGCGTGTGTGAAGCACTGGGTTTGATCCTCAGCACCACATAAAAATAAATAAACAAAATAAAGAAACTGTGTCCATCTGCAACTAAAAAAGTCTAGGCCTGCATGGGACCATTTGAATGTCCATGTGGCTGCTCTGGTTCAGACTTGCCACAGACCCACAGAACAAGGCTGGAAACGTATTACATGACCGAGACTCAATGGTGATTTGACTCTACTATACTTAATATAAAATCAGGCTTCCCTTCACAACATGACTTTAGGTAATTTATTCTATTGAGAATATCAAGGGAAAACATACGCGAGGAAAGGGTTAGGATAGAAAAGAAGAAGGAATGTTTTAAAAAAGCATTTTTTAGAAATGGGAGCACTTAGAGTCTACTGCAGCCATAATGTTTAAAAGGCAAGAAGTGTTATTTCAAATTCACTGGTGGAATCTATAAATATATCTCTCATTTCCTGGTTGCTTAGGCCATTAAGGGTCTAATCTATTTCCTGAGCTAAAACTAGCTAATGGAAAAATATTTAGAATAGTTGTCATCCATTGGGATGGGCACTTGGCATCTCTTCACCTAAAACATATTCTTCATCATAATTCCCTTTAGCAATTTACATGGTTTCTAAAGGACTAATCTCATTTTTTACATTGAAAGTCTTTGTTTCATAATACATGATAAGGCTCTCCTCCCCTAGTGTTTTAGGGATAAGGACACACCTCTGTGACCTTCTTTACCCTCAACACATTTGTGACACGGGGTCTAGAAGTATGTTACTTGCTTTTCTGTCAAACAGTTCACTTGGGAAATCAATGAACAACAACAACAACAACAAAGAAGTGAAGGAAACCTGTTGATAAGCTTATTATACCACCTATTTGCAATGCTGCTCCAAAGTGGCCTAGGCCCCAATTAGTGGAAGCAAACTACAGTGTGCTGAGGCCAGGTTTACCACAGGCAACCCACAAGGTGACACATACTTCTCATCCCGCAAGTTTATCTCCTGTGACTAGTAGCACACTTGTGACACACCTGTGATTAGACAGAGGACTCAGACAGCAAACTAAGTTTCTGTACAGCCTGAGAGAAGTACTGTCAAGGTAAACACGCCAGAGGAAAACCCCACACGCAGGAGTGCGCCCCACAAGACTCTGTGCTATTCCTCCCTTTCCTTCCGCAGAGATCAATCAGCAACAGCTATCCCAGAAAACAGTCTGCCAGAGCCAGGCTGGGGCTCTCCAGCAAACCTGGCCTTTGAGTTGAGACTTGGGCGTGTGGCTCTCAGGAGCTCAATTTACACTCCTAATTCTGAAATCTGAGCCTGCCAAATTTAAATTTCTTTTAAACCAGTATCTGTAAAGTCTGACTTATACAGAAGATAAAGCTCAGTGAAGTCTGACTGGTCTTCAAAAAGCTAGCCTGGTTTCTTTCAAGCTGCATTCTTGCCACACTATGCAAGTCACTACTTTCCTATAGTCAAGGCAGCTGTCAGTGACAAAGTCACTTTCTGCATTTGGCACAGAGAATTGATATTACTTTTGCTGCTCTGAATGTCTCAGTCTACAACAGAATTATCAATAATATGGTTGCCTTCCTTTTAGAAATATCACTTTTAAAACAAGACAAAGAAAATCATTTAATTTCATAAAGAAAAATAACAAATTTCTGCTAAAATTAACCAATATTTTTTTTAAAGAAATTTGGTTATAAAATCAAAATAGAAACATTTTTCTGTCTGTGCTGTTATTAAAATCAGTTGTACACATATCTGTTCACACATTTCACCTCCTCCTAGCTGAATACTGACAGCACTCTACGCAGTGACACTGCACAGGAGGCAGAAGCTCCCCCGACCCGGCAGGCTTGTAGCAAGCCCCTGGAGTCATCCGCAAACAGAAAACCAGATCCTGTAACAGACCAGCAAGAAGAAAAGGCAACAAAGCTTAGTCTAGAGATCCGTATGTGACTGCACCTGGTGGTGACGTTTTAGCTGGATCCCGACACCCACTCGCAGTGTTTCTGTTCTCAGAGGTGAGGTGGTGGACCCACAGACACACCTCCCACGCTCTGCAGCCCAGCCCTCCTACTCTCTCTGGAGACCTAAAAAGATGTTTCTCCTCTGTGGTTCTCAGAGTGAAAATTATTCCAAGTAAAAGTTTACAAAAGTACAACTAATTAAAAAGCAAATAATTGCTTCTAGCACCATTAAACTAAAACACTCAATTAAGTGAAGGATAAGTTCTGGTAAGTGGCAACTTAAAAGGTAAATTACCCTTTTTCTGTCTTGGATATAA